CTGGCGTCTCCCCCGCAGGGGAGGCAGCCTGAGCCACAGGGAACGGGGATGTTGCTGTGGTGTAACAGATAGGCCCTGAGCCCGCAGATCCCAGCTCAAGGCACTGGCAGAATCCAGGGTCAAAGGACTTCCCCCAAAGCCCTACAGTAGCTGTTTCCTCATCTGAAAAAAATGAAACAACCCCAGGTCATGGGGTTTCAGTAAGAAAGTCCCTACCCAGCCTGCTACCCTAGAACCCAGCCAGTGCCGGGGAGTCATGCCTGTTTTTCCGCCTGAAAGCACCTCCAGTCACTCTTGCATTCACTCATTCATGTGCTTCTTGCTATTGACGCATCGGCCCACAACTCATGGCGACCCCATGCACGTGGAACAAAACACTGCCTGGCCCTGCGCCATCCCTATGATCAGTTATGGATAGAACCATTGAGATCCATAGGGTTTTCAGTGGATGATTTTTGGAAGTAGATTGCCAGGCCTTTATTCCTGGTCTGTTTTAGTCTGGAAGCTCCACAGAAACCCATTCGGCATTCAAGTGACCTGCGAACCTCCACTAACAGACAGGTGGTGGCTGTGCATGAGGTGCATTGGGTATGAATTGAACCCAGATCTCCCGCATGGAGGGCAAAACTTCTGCCACTGAACCACCACTGTCTCATTTCTAAAGGACTTTAAAAAACCATACCCGTCACCATCGACTCAATCCTGACTCATAGGTACCGTATAGGACAGCGAAGAACTGCCCCACAGGGTTTCCAAGCAGACCGCCACATCTTTCTCCCAAAAAGCAGCTGGTGGGTTCAAACCACTGACCTTTTGGTTAGCAGCCAGGCACTTTAACCACTGCACCACTAGTGTTCCTTTTAAAGGCCTTACATGTATTTATTTACTCTTCATACTCTCATGCCCCTTAGGAGGTGGGTACTGTCATTTTGATAGCCATTCAATAGCTGCGGGCACTGAGCACAGAGAGGTGAAGCCACTTGCCTGAGGCTGCCCAGCAAGGAGGGCCAGGGTTGATCCTGGCAGCCTCAGTTCCCTGCCCCAATCTCCTCCCTCCCCTGGCTGTTCCCGCCTGCCACCTCTCAGAGTTCCTTCCAGAATTCCCTTCCTCCCTGAGCAGCCACGCTCTTCTCCTCGGCTTGCCTTTCCTCAACGTTCTGCCTCCAGAACAAAACCCCACGAAGCACCGTCTCTTGTCCTCCCGACAGCCCCCGCCCACTCACTCGCTCCCTCCTTTCTCTCTGCCTGCGCCTTCCACGCAGGGAGGGCGACAGCGCCAGCCAGGGAAGGGAGAGCGACGCGCGGGCTGGCATTCTGTCAAGGAATTAATTGAAAAATAAAATCATTAGATGGGAACTCCAGAAATGCAAAATGGTGGTTGGAGGCTGGGGGCGGTGGGGGGAAGGAGGGAGCAGGACTGGGGGGCTGTTGGGGGACGGCTGAGCTTTTTGTCAAGTTAATTTCTCGGGTATTGATGTTTGGTGACATTCACTTGTTGTTTATCTTCGGGTGCAGCTGTAATATGGAAAGAAAATGCACAGCTTGTTTCATTTATTTATTTTACACCTTTCCCTGGTTCTGCATTGTGTTTGTTTGGTGAAAACCCACTGAGGCTTTTGATGTCGGGGAAGTGGGATTTCAGCAGCTGTTCCCTGAAAGCAGGGTGCTTCCTGTGGAAGCAATGCTGGCAGGGGCGAAGGGTGCGGGGTGGCATTTGGTGGGAACTCGGGGCCCTGCGCCTCCTCCTGGGGGGCATTTGGGCCACTGACCTGGGTCCCCAGCATGGAGCTGAGCCAGATCTGCCAGGCCCACGAGAGCTGTAATGGCCTGTGAGTGCTGAGCCCTGAGGCACAGCCGCCCCTTGAGTTGGGTCCTATTTTTATCCCCATTGTACAAATGGGCAAGCCAAGGCCCAGAGAGCTAAAGTGACTTGCCCAGGGTCACTTAACTGGTATGTGGCAGGCTGGGCCCCGAGATTGTCTGACGTCCAAGGCCATGGAGAAGTCAGTCATTAACCCGCCATCCTTGCCCTTTGCCCCAGCACAAGTCAGAGGATACCTCTGAGCCTCTGTTTTCCAGCCTGCAAACTGGGCATGGCAATCATGCCCCTCTTGGCCTGGACAAACCAAATAATTTCATTCCTTTACCTAACAGCTGTTTATTGATCACCTCCTGTGTGCCGACTTTCATACAACAGTCCCAGCCCTCTTGGTGTTCACTGCCCTCGTGGCAAAGAGAGACATCAGATCAACAACTATTATATCGATGATGGAGTCTCTGGTGGTGCAAACAGTTAATGTGCTCAGCTGCTAACCTAAAGGTTGCAGGTTCAAGTCCACCCAGAGGTGCCTTGGAAGAAAGGCCTGGCAGTCTACTTCCCAAAACTCAGCCATTAAAAGTCCAGTGGAGCATAGTCCCACCCTGACACACATGGGATTGCCATGAGTCAGAACTGACTCCACAGCAACTGGTTTTAATACCTCATAGTCTTAAATGTTCCTGTGTAAAGTCTCATGAGCTTTGAAAAGCTGGGCAGTGGCAGAGTGGAGTAGCTCAGACTTTGTACTCAGATGGCACGTGGGTCCTGGATGTACAGCTCCCTAGCTGTGTGCTTTGAGCAAGTTACTTTGCTCCTCTGAGCCCTGTTTCCTCATCTTTAAGATGGCAATACCTCCCTCAGAGCCATGATAATTGACGTTCATTAAGTAAATGAACTTAAGTTTAAAATAGCTTTACTGTTAAGTGCATTTTATTCTAATTCTTCGAAAACTGGTAATCCATGTATATACCCATGGCCGTCAAGTCGATTCTGACTCATAGCCACCCTATAGGACAGAGTAGAGCTGCCCCATAGATGTTTCCAAGGAACACCTGGTGGATATGGACTGCCCGACCTTTTGGCTAGCAGGCACGCTCTTAACCACTGTGCCACCAGGGCTCCATCCATGTATAGTAGCCAGTAAAAACTAGTTTCCATGGAGTGGACTCTGACTCGTGGTGACCCCCCATGGGTCAGAGTAGAACTGTGCTCCATAGGGTTTTCAACGGTTGCCGCTACTGCTGGCCGCCCCTCGGTTGGATTCTGGTCTTGTTTGCACTGAGAGGGGTCCCTGGGGTGGCCAGCCCCAGCCCAGGAGAGTAGGGACCCGCTGGCCCAGGAGGCAGCTGCTGTCCCCACCCCATTGTTAGCAGCTGTAGGGGGTTGCCAATGACAGGCCTGTGGGCCCTATTTTGTGGCCCTTCTATTTCCCAGCTTCTATTACCTGCCCACAAATTCAATTTCCAGAGGCCATTGTGCACCTCCAGAGCCTGGCGATTATGAGGAAACAGAGAGCGGCAAGGGGGGGAGCAGGAAAAGAAGCCGACGTCTGAGCTGTGGGCCACAGCCCCAACGCGGCCCCGCTCCCTTTTCATGATTAACAATGATAGACACAGCTGCCAGGCCTTGAGGCTCCTGGGAAGGCGGACGGGCAGGCAGGCAGGCAGGCAAGCGGCTGCGTACCGGCTGCAAGTCTCCCACGCCTCCCTCCACCTTGCCATGGGGCAGCCCACATCCCTCTAAGCGCCATTCACTCATCCCGCATTCAGCAGATATGCAGTGAGTACCTACTGGGTGCCATGCAGTGTGCTAAGGTGGGGGGCTCAGAGTGACCCTGGGCACCACCCAATGGGAAGATGGAGGCATAGGGTAGTGGGGTGACTTCTTCCACCTGGAAGGCTTCCCAGAGGAGGCGTTGTTTGAGCCAGGAGAGGCGCAGGGACTTGGACAGTCTCTTCACAGCCACCTTTACAAGTCAGCCGTTATCTGTGAGTGGTTAGATTAGCAGAGGGACTGACAAAGCTGACAGGCCCAGAGCCCACCCCCATTCCCTTCCTGAGGGCCAGAGGGACCAGCCCCACCTTCCCCTGCCACCCTTTGTCTCCCTGGCATTCTCTGACCAGCACCAGAGACTTTCATGAACAGTGGAAAGATTATGGACTGTGGTGTGTCTTAAGTTTGGATCCTGGCTCTGCCACTTCCTAGCTGGGTATCCTTAGAGTTAGCCTCTTGGAGGCTCAGGTTCCTTACCTGTAAGAGTTAATAATACCTGCCTATGGGGTTGTTCAGAGGAACAGAGCCGTAGCACATAGTAGGTATTCAATCAATAGTGTTTGGGGCCCAGAAGGTGTGTATCTTTTGCTGAGCCATCATACACTCTCGTATTTCCATGTTTTTGCTCATGCTGGGGTTCTGAATCCCCTTCCCCGTTTCCTCATAGAGAACTCTTCTGCATTCCTCAAAGCCCAAGTCAAATAGCCCCTCCTTTCCAAAGCCACTTCTAATTGTTATTCCTTCCATGCCTCCCAGGCAGAACTGGATCCTCTCCATCCTCTGGAATCCCTGAGTACTACATTTATTCACCCTACATTTATTGTGCACCTACTGTGTACCAGTCACTTACTATGGGGTGTTAGAGTCTGCGGCTTCCATGCAAACAGGAACAGCGTTTACTTGTCTCCCCAGATGTTGCCCAGCGTGTGGCTCAGCCTCTCGGAAGCCTTCCAGGTCCCCCTAAGCTAGGCAGAGATTTGTTTAGGAGGCCATCCCCCCACCCCTCACTTTCTAAGCGGAACCATGTCCTCTGTGGGGGAAGGATGCCTAAAAGGGTGCCCAGGTGATGGCCGGGATGGAAGCAGGAGACTTTCGGGGGCTGAGAGGTGGCGCCCCCCAAGGTGAAGCTGAGACTAACCACCATCTTCCTGTCTCCCCCTCTTCTCTTGTGTCTGCTCTTCTCTTGCCTCCTTCCTTCTCCTCTCTCATCCTTCCTCCTTTGGATTTCTCCTCTCCTCCCGCCACTTCTCTTGCTTCCATTCTCTCCTCGTCTTTCCCCTGGCCTCTCCCTGACCCCCGTTATGCTCCTCTCTTGCTCTCCCTCCCCGCCCCCCGTCGTTTCTCCCTTCCTGCCTCCCAACCCTCTCGGCTGTTCTTTTCTCCTCTCTTGCCATCTGGGCTCCCACAGAGCCCCCAAAGAAAAAGCAGTCTGTGGTGTTGGATGAGATCCTGGAGCAGCTGGAAGACAGCGACAACGACAGCAAGTAGCAAACCCTTCAGCTGCGAGCTGGCACCGAGTGGGTATGTGGCTCTGGGGCCCTGGGGACTGGGGACAGCCGCTCTGGCTTCTGTGTTCCTGCCTGTGTGGGCAGGCGGTGGGAGCGAGGTAGGGCCATTTGCTTGGTGGGGCCAGTGTGGGGGCAGCAGGCGGCCCACCCTCTACTGGGCATCCTGGACACCAGACACCACATCCACTGATGCGTTCCACCAGATGCTGACCACGCGCCTGCTGGGTGCCAGCACTGGAGGACCAGAGAGGGCAGGGCATGGGGCAGCCACGTCCGGAGGCCCCTCAAGTCAGCACACAGGCTGGGAAGTGAACAAAAGCAAACCAGCACCTGCCACGAGCCGTTTGCTGCTCTCACATGGGTCCTTGCACTGGCTCCTCCCAGCCACCCTGAGCAGTAGACAGCGGCACCCCATCCTCCCGATAGGATGGTGAGGCACACAGGGGCTTCAGGACATGCTCCAGGTTGTACAGCCACACCCAGGCCAGCCACCTGGGTGGTCATTCCCCCTCACTTACTGTCCCCCAGCCACTCTGACCTTCCTTCCGGCTCATTCCTACCTCAGGGCCTTTGCACTTGCTGTTCCCTCTGCCTGGGATGCCCTTCCCCCACGTATTTCCTGACTCCTTTTTCTTTTTTTTTTTTTTTTTTTTACCTTCAGATGTCAGTTTAAATTCCACTTCTTCATGGAGAGGCATTTCCCTGCTTTCTCTAAAGTAGAACTCCCAGCTCCTCTCCCCGCCCAGCCCCAGCCACCCCCTTCCCAGTCTCGGAGCCCTGTCCCTTTCAGCCACAGCCATTAGTGTGGAGGACAGCCTGGGGTTTGAAAGAGTGTCTTGGTGACCTTGAACCGTATCCCTACCCCTGTGAAAATAAGTGCCTTCAACAGTTGGGAACTATTAAAGCTATTGTAGCGGGCATCATCTTTGTCCTCATTCTGGGCTGAAGTAACACATATAGGCACCTAGCGATGTGCCTGACCCAGAGGAGGTGCCCCACCGCTTGGAGAAGAGGGGCCGCGGGAAAGCATTTTACGAGAAATCCATCTGTCAAATGGGTGCGGGATGAATCGGGGGACACTGAGCCTTTGAGCCAGGGCATCAGGGAGATTGGTGGTCAGCATTGTCACTAGGGTGCTGGGTCACCAGGAAGCTTTCCGGAAGGAGAGGCGATAAGGGTTGGGATGAGTTTGCAGTGGTGACGGGACATCAGAGGTCCCAGACAACCTGGAGACCTAACAGAGAAATTCCAGAAATGAGCCAAGGCGGGAGTGGCTGGGCAAGGAGCACTGCTTGGGGTCTGGATGCGCTTCCAGGGCCGCAAGGCTCCGGATCCGTTTGGAGACTGGTGTGTTGGGGTGGAGACAGGTTCATCGGTTTCTCAGGGGGGTCTGTGACCCCTATATGGTTAGGAACCCCCACCAGCAGAGAGCCAGGAGGGGACCGGAATGGTGCTGGACTAGAGCCAGCACCCAGAGGAGAAGGGTGCTGCAAGAGGCCAGAGGGAGCCTCCAGGCCTGCAGGAGTGGCCACAGGGCCTGCGGTGTGGGGATCGGAGAGCAGAATGCACGGGCCCTGACTGAGAACACCACCCACTGCCTGTGTGACCAGCAGCAAAGGTCTCAATGTCTCTGAGCCTCAGTTTTCACATCTTTAAAATGGGTAGAAGAAGAACACCTACCTCATAGTTGTTTTTTTTTAAGGATTAAATGTAAGATCATGCATGGAAAGCACTTAGCAGATTGCTTGATGCCTAGTGAACGCTGCGTACATGGTAGCTGTGATGACTTTATTATATTTGGTGGGGATGATGATGGTGGTGATGCGGCAACAAAGAGGAGGGCTCGTGGGCCAGCCCCAGTGAGTGCTCACAGAAGTCAGAGCAGGCTGCTGGCTACACTCTGGAGACGCAGGGCAGGGCTGAGAGTTGCCAGGAGGTGGGTCATAGAGGACAGGAGGCTGTGTATCTAGAAGGCAGCCTGGAAGTGGTGCCCCTCAGCCCACCAGCCCCAGAGCTGGCAGACTGCCCCCCCACCCCCACACCAGCTGGCCGTGACTCCGGAGAACCTGCAGGCAAAAGCGATGTGAAGGTGAATCATCTACCTAGTCATTCCTTGTGCCGAGCCAAGCCCAAGATGGGCCCGGCGGTCACTGAGGTGCACAGTGGAGAGTAACGGCAGCCTTTCCCCGGGAGCCGCGGCCCTCGTGGTGCTGTGTGTTCTTAGCCCTGTTGACCCCGGGGTCACCTCCGTGCAGAATTGTCTTTTCTGAAAGCCAAGACCAGAGGCTGCAGGTCAGTGCTTGGAGGCTGGTGCACAGACACTCGCAGGTTAAAGGCAGGTCAGCAAAGGCCAGCAGCCGAGCGGTGATCCCTGGGTGTGAAGTGGAGGCCGGGGCGAGGCCAGGGCCAGGCCGGGAAGGCCTGAGCGGGTGTCCTCAGTCAGGTTTGCGTACTGCAGTCGGCTGGGGCCAGGTCGAGCTCAGGGTCAGTGTATGCACCCTGGACTCTGGTGGGTGCCAGGCATCTGCTCACATCGTTGAGGGGGGCGGGTGTGTGGAGAACAGCCCCCACCACTCCACGAAGTGTAGGGGAAGGGCACAGGCTGCAAATCAGGGCCTCTACGTCATTCATTCACTCATTCATTTGTTCATTCAACAAACACTTCCTAGGTGGCCCCTGTGCTCTAGGAGCCTGCTGGATGCCGGGGATCCCCAGCAGGCACACGTGCCACCTGACATGCCGACCTCCCTGTGGGTGTCATCTGTGGATCGATAGAAGGGTCTAGAAGACCCTGCATCTTACAGAGGACAGCTCTCAGCGGCCTTTGCCCGTGTGTTTCTCCTCCCTTTCTTTTCCTGGTCCTCTTGTCTGTTTTCTTTTGTGGCCAGGCCATTTCTGCAGCGCCTGTCTGTGCTCGGCAGCATCGAGGAAGGGATTAGTGCCAGCCGAGCATGCAGGCTTTGGTGAACAGAGCCGAGTTTGGTTTCAACATCTAATTCAATTTGTTCTGCCGAGATTGAAATAAGAAATGGTTGCCAGTCAGACGTTCAAAGGCAGCCAGGGACAGGGAAGGGAGAGTGAGCGCCTGCTGAAATATAAATTTTAATGAAAATGACTTTAACCCTTTGGTACACCCTGTGGAAATGGGACACGCCCTCCCATCCAAGGAAAATCCTCTTGGGTTACGAGCATCTTACACCTCCTTCTCTTTGGCCAAGGGTCAGTAATCATACGTGATCAATTTTTTCAGCAGTATCAATAATAAAAGATTAATAGACTACATGATTAATAATAATGTATTCACCCATATTGTCTCAGCCATTGAAATAGGCACCTTCCCATCAATTCCTTTTCCAAACCTCAGACAAGGCTCGGCTCCCTGTCTGATGCTCTCATGATACCTGAGCCCCACCTTAGCACCTTTCCCAGCTGTGATTCAGGGTCTGTGTCGTTCTGAGTGTCTCTCCTCTCCCTAGACGGGAAGTGCCAGAAAGGCAGGGCCCAGGCCTGTTTGGAGCACACCACGTCCCCCGGGCCTGGCAGATAGTAGATTGTTGTTGTTAGGTGCCATTGAGTCAGTTCTGACTCATAGCAACCCCATGTGGCAGACTAGAATTAACCCATAGGGTTTTCCAGGCTATAATCTTTATGGAAGCAGACTGCCAGGTCTTTCTCCCGTGGAGCCACTGGGTGTATTCGAAGTGCCAACCTTTTGGTTAGCTGAGCATTTAACCGTTTGCACCACCAGGGCTCCTCAGGTCTAAGATAGCGAGCCTTTTTTTGGGTTAGGAATTGAATGAAAGCACCAGATTTTGGACACTTTATATTTTTAAATTATGTAAGTAATACATGCTAATTGTAAGGATAAATAAATAAATAAAGGAGCCCTGGTTGCGCAGTGGTTAAGCCCCTTTACATAAAAAAGTTTCCAGCCCGTGATCTAAACCCAGCCCCCTAATGGTCCAGAGCACAAAGCCAGCCCCAGAGAAGGTGAGTGGTTTGGGAGGTCACACCACGGCAGAGCGGGAGCCAGCCTCCCTGGGTTTGAATCCGGCTCTGCCATTGCCCCACAGCATGGTCTTGAGCAAGCTCCTTGACCTCGCTGTGCCTCAGTGTCCTCTGCAAACCGAGAACAATCATCGTCTCAGCCATTGGGCTGTTGTGAGGATTAAAGGAGTAAAGATTTATTTTGCCGTAAGGTGTAAAGGGCTTACGTGAGCACTGCACAAGTGTTCGCTGTTACCAGCCCATCTCCCACAGCAAGGCAGTGTCCCCGACACCCCGCCAGGCTCTCCCCAGCACCCGCCACCCAGGAGGCACGAGTGTTCCTCGGCCTTCTGGTTCATTGGCTAAATCAAAGGGGCCCTGCAATCTAATTATAGCATCGCCAGAAGCCAGGACTGCGTCCCCTCCAGCTTCCCTTAATAAACCCCACTTCCCCTTAATTGCATCTTTCATGAAAACGATCCACTGGGCCCCATCCTTGGGCTCAGGCCAACAGCAGACATTTTGTTGTTGCACAGATTTCCGATGGCAGCTGCTCCCGCCTTCCCTGGGAACTGTCAGGAGCCCTCCCTTTTTCTGGTCCCCAAAAAGATCCCCGGTGGTAATATCCCTGCTACCTCATATGTCTGCATGCCCCCCTGTGGTTTACAGAACACACTTGCAGTTGGGAGTGAGTCACAAGGCCGGGACTATCAACCCATTGTGCAGGTGAGGAAACTGAGGCTCAGGGAGGAGACGTGACGAGCTCTTGGCTGATATTCCGGGAAGGTGCCGAGAGAAGACAGGCCCCTTTCTCTCCTAGGCCTCTGCACTGGCCACAGCCTCACAGGCAAAGACCAGCCTCTCCTTCCCCCTTTGGCTTTCCGGAGGGAGGGAGAAAGGAAGGACCATTAATGGTTGTCAGATTCATTCCCCAGACGTCCTAGGAGGTGGGGCTGAATAGGTCCCTGGGTAGTGCAGAAGGTTAAGCGCTTGGCTACTGACCAAAACATTGGTGGTTCGAAACCACCCAGAGGCTCCTTGGAAGAAAGTCCTGGGAGTCTTCTTCCAGTAAATCAGCCACTGAAAACCCTGTGGAGCACAGTTCTACTCTGTAATACACGGGGTTGCCATGAGCTAGAATTTACTCAATGGCAACTGGTAGACCCCTGGACAACGCCCCCCCTCCCTCCTTCTTGGGCTCAGCTGCCCAACTTCACATTTTAAGCATTCCACTGCAACAGGTGCAAGTTGGGAACTTCGAGATATCTCATGGCCCCTGAAACACAAGCCACAACCTGGTCCACAGCCAGAGAGCAGCAGCCTGCCCACAGCCAGGGGACAGCTAGCTGTGTGGGCCCCCCACAGAGATGACTTATAAGTTAGGGTATGTTTTGGCCCCTGTGACAGACCCACAGCATCAGTGACTCAAACTAGATGGAGGAGGATTTCTCCCGTGACAGTCGGAAGGTCAGCAGGCCCGGGCTGCAATGGGCCCCTCTGCACTGTTGCTCTGCCATGCCTCCACACTGTCTCCTCCACGTGACCCAGGTGGCTCCCCACTGTGCCAAACCCAGCCAGCAGGAAGGGGAAAGGAGTGGGCCGCCCACCCTTTAAGGACGCAGCCGGCAGTTCTCGCCATCGGTTCTGCACACACCCCTTTGCCAGCTTGTGGTCACATGGTTGCGCCTCACTACAGGAGATGCTGGGAACCAGCATCTGTCCTGGGAGGTTGTGTGTCCCTCGAAGTCATGAGGGCCCCTTTCTGCAGGAAGCAGAGAGCAGGTGTTGGGAAGCAGTAGCAGCCTCAGCCACACATGTAGACCTGCCTCAGCCTGGGCCCATCCCAGAGCTTGTTCAAGGTCAACTGGACTGTGTCGTTGGTTTCCACCATTTGAACTGACTTATCCTACATAAGATGCAGCACCATTATAAAGGGCCCAAAATCTGGTGCTTTCTTCCAGTTCCTAACCCCCAGAAGTTTAAAGCCCACTGTCTTAGACCCAAGGAGCCCTGGTGGTGTAAACAGTTAAGCACTCAGCTGCTAACTGTAAGGTCAGAGGTTTGAGCCCACCAGCCACTCCTCAGGAGAAATGATCGAACAGTCTGCTTCTGTAAAGACTTACAGCCTTGGAAACCCTATAGGGCAGTTCTCCTCTGTCCTTTAGGGCCACTATGAGTCGGAATTGACTTGTCAGCACACAACATCTTAGACCCAAGCGCTAGTTGACCACGAAAGCCCCCCCAAAAAGGTATGGGTCTTGTTCCACAAAATGCTCGTTTCTCTGTATGTCACGGTGAGGGGGCGGTGTATAGTAACGGCCTCAAGTTCACCCATGTGTGATTCGGCCAAGTGTAGCCCAGGTGTTCTCACACAGAGCTGTTTTCCCTATAGCCCTTTCTTTTCCTGGGATCTTCAGAAGGGCTTCCACTGATAGGGCAGTGCATGAGTGGCCTGTTGCTGCTGTAACAAAGTTTACAAACAGGCAGGCTGAAAACTACAAACATTTGTTCTCTCACCATCTGGAGGCCAGAAATCTGAGCTCAGTGTGTCAGCAGTGCCTTGCTCCCTCTGAAGGCTCTAGGGGAGAGCCTGTCCTTGTTTCTTCTAGGCATCCCTTGGCTTAAAAGCAAAAAACCAGACCAGTTGCTGTGGAGTCAATTCCAGCTCATGGCTACCCCATGTGTCAGAGTAGAACTGCTCTGTAGGGTTTTCAGGGCTGTGACCTTGTGAAAGCAGATCACCAGGCCTTTCTTCCAAAGCACCTCTGGGTAGGTTCTAACCTACCTTTCAGTTAGTTGCGCACCACCCGGGGACTCCATAACTTGAGGCTGCGTATATCCAATCTGTGTCTCCGTCTTCCCATGGCCTTCTCTGTCTCTCAAATCTTCCTCTGACAAGGACTCTTGTCATTGGATTTAAGGCTCCCAGATAATCCAGGATGATCTTATCTCAACCTTAACTTAATTACATCTGCAAAGACCCTTCTTCCAAATAAGGTCACATTCACAGGTTCTGGGTAGACATATCTTTTGGGGGCCACCGTTCAACCCACTCCAGGCTGTCTGAGCCACTTTCCTTGCTCATTGAGCATTTTGTGAGCAGCTTCTGTTTGCCAGCCCTGAGCTGGTGGCTGGGAACTCAGCGGTCAACAAGACAGAGATGGCCCTGCCCTCATGTAGTTCACCATCTGTCTGGGGAGATGGCCAAATAACTCAGTAATTATGGTGCAAAGAGAAAAGTGGGGAAAGTGCTGTTGTCTGTGGGAGCCCAGGGGAAGGGCGGAGAGAGCTTCCCGGGGAAGTAGCATCTTAACTGAGTCCTGATGGGTGACTCAAGGCCACATTGAGGGTTTATCAGATTCTTTGCCGTGAACATAGACTATACCACTTGTTAAACAGTCATGGGAACATTTATAAAAAAGAATACCATATATAAGGCCACCAAAGAACACCTATGTAAGTTCCAAAAAGTGGAAATAATATTGACCATATACTGTGACTACAATGCAATAAAAGTAGAAATTTATATCAAAAAATAGAAGGAAGAACAGCTCCTAGAAATTAAAATATTCCTCTCAAACAATTTGAGTCAAAAAAATAAGCGCTAAAATTGCAGAATATTTTGAAATTAGCAGTGATAGAAACACAGCATTATCAGAACCCATGATTTTGCTAACAGCTGAAGCTGTGCCTAGAAGGAGATTCATAGCCTTAAAAAATCTACATAAACACCAAGTTCTAACAGTTCTCTGTATATTAGTTATGTATAGCCATAATAATGCTGCTTAACAAACAATCACAAAACCCAGTGGCTTAAAGCAGTAAGTACTTACTTAGCTCATGAGACTGTACGTCAATGGGTTGTTTAATGCCTCTTTCCCACGTGGCTCAGGGCTGGCTGGCTATGGACTTGTCTGGCCTGGACTCAGCTGGGCTGACTCAGTGCTATCTCATCCTCCAACTGACCAGCCCAGTCATATTCTTATAGTGAAAGCAGAGGAGCAAGAACAGAAGAGCTTTTTTTAAGCCTCTTGTGTCAAGTTTAAGGAGCCCTGGTGATGCAGTGGTTGGACGCTTGGCTACTAACCAAAAGGCCGGTGGTTTGAACGCACCAGCTGTTCCACAGGAGGAAGAAGTGGCAGTCTGCTTCCGTAAAGATTACAGCCTTGGAAGCCTTATGGGGCAGCTCTACTCTGTTCTAGAGGGTCACTATGAGTTGGAACCAAAGGCAAAGGGGTTAAAGGGTATGTCAAGTTTGCTTCTGTCCCATTGGCCAAAGTAAGTCACATGACAAAAATAAAAGTGGGAATGGAAGAGGACTACCAGAAGGTGTGGACGTGGGAGTGGGAGGGGAGTGAAAACTTGGGGGCATGAATGCCAACACCCTCCCATATACCTCTTAAATATATCTTGCCTCCATCCCCCTTGGGCTCCAGCCCCATCTGTTGCCTAGATTCCTGGGGGCAGCCTCCCTCTCCCCTTTGCCTCACCCCTTTCACCTGGCTACCACCTTCAGGTATGGCACCACTTCCTTTGAGCAGTCTTCCTTTGAGCTAGCCCCCATCATGACTCAGGTGCCCTCCCTCTGGGCCTCTGCCCATTTGCTACCATGACAGCACTGTCCTCAGAGTACTGTAGGATCTGTCCACTCTATCACCAGCTGTAAGCCCTTGAGAGCAGGGACTGTGTCTTGTCCACAGCCATGTCCACGAGCAGGAAGCACCCACCAAGTCTGTGCTGGAGTCCAGGTGGCCCCAAGTCTGGCCTCTCGAGAAACAAGACGTTCAGAGACTCTCCACAGCCAAAACCAAACCAGTTGCCGTCACATCGATTCCGACTCCTGGTGACCCTATGTGTGTCAGAGTAGAACTGTGCCCCATAGGGTTTTCAGTGGCTGTGACCTTTCAGAAACAGATTTCCAGGACTTTCTTTCAAGGCACCTCCGGGTAAGTTCAAACCGCCCACGTTTTGGTTAGCAGCCAAGTGCATTAACGGTTTGCACCACCCAGGGACTCCTTTCTGTGGCCACGCAGGTGGGTTCAGCCTCAGCTTGTCTTCTCGCTTCACCCTCTGGGAGCATCCCACGCTGCCAAGGGACCCAGATGGCTTTCATCAGGCCCCCGGGTGAGAGCGGACCATCGAGTTAATCCCCTCCTTCCGAAGGTTCTATGCTCTTTGACCTTAGCACTCTGGTCCACCCTGCTTGATTATCACAGCCAGGTGGGGCCCCCACATGATCCAGAGGTCACTGGCAGATTCCCTCCAGCTGGGCGGCTTCCGGGCCCAACCATCCTCAGGAAGGTGAGCCAAAGCCAGCCCAGCGGCTCAGGCCAACCCCTCCCCTCCCTGCCAGGTGGGCCGCCAGCCAGGAGGGAGCCCAGCCCGTAAATGCTTCAGACCCCCCAGTTTAGAAGGTGTCACGGGCTCTCAACAGCTCCTCCTGCTCATTCCAGCCCCTGGGACTTCTACCGTTCAAACCCTGAGCTCTCAGGTAAACGGTGCAATTTAGAACTCTGAGGTTTGGCTGTAGCCTCATTTCTCTGCATTCTGGTTCCTCTCCAATTCCCTAGGCTTCACTGGCCTCGCTTTGGAGCCCTAAATCAGGGACAAGCCTTGCTTCACAATCCAGCTGGCTCAGGCGGCCTCATTTCTGGGGGGCAGAGTGAAAAGCCAGCTCTGTCGTGTTCCTGCTCAGAAGCCCGGTATTAACTTTGTAGCGTCTTTTAAGCAGTCCCAATTCTTCCGTCCCTTGTCTAGTCCGTTGGGTAGGTGATCTACTTAGAAGAGTGTATACGTATCTATTCCCTTCCCCCCAACCCACTCAGTAAAGCAGTTTTTTAAATGGCGGTGGGGGGGCAGTTGTTTTGTGCCATGAATCGGTTCCAAGTCATGGCTAAACGTTTGTACTTTCTCTGAATTGACTACGAACTGTCAAGTGTGTACTTTGATTGCATCTTACTGTATAGTCTTAGCTTCTGGGACAAAAGCCACTGGATCCTCAGGATGAGGTTCCTTCTGAAAAACTGAACCCCTAGGGGTGAGAGATTAAGCTCGTCCTTTAACCCCAGGAATTAACCCAGCCTAGGTTCTGCTTGGAGGTCCCCCAGGTGGTGTTAACAATTACTGCGTTCAGCTGCTAACTGAGAGTTTAGAGGTTTGAGCCCACCCAGAGAAGCGTTGGAAGGAAGGCCTGGCAAACAACTTCTGGACAAATGAGCCATTGAAAACCCTAAAAGTCAACTCATTGGCAGTGGTTACTGGTTAGCTCCTGCTGCCCACTCCTCCGGCCAGCCTGGGGCAGGTCGCGGATTGCCGCATTTGCAGACAGGGAGAATAAGTCCCTTCCCTCCCAGCAGTGTCAGGGGTGTGTTGATTACCTGGCTCAGGGCAAGCACATCAGCCATCTGTTCCGTGGAATTTTCCTAAATATTGTGGTGTGCAGGCACAGGGTGATGGGTGGTGAGCCAGTGTACAGCTCTGACCCTCAGGAAGCTCATTCCCAAACATCCAGAAAGAAATTACAGACCGTGCCGGGGGAGCGAAGCACCCCTGAGAGAATCATGGTGGGGCCTGATTCAGTGATGTGCTGGAAGGCTTCTCAGAGGAGGTGGCCTTCCAGCTGAAGGTGACTAGGAGGTGGTAGCCAAGCCAAGGGGAAGAGGAGACTTAGGCAGGAGAAATGAAGGACCTGTGCAAAGGTGGAGCAGTGGAACCTGGTGCTGCTGGCCTCGCTCCCGCCCCATCCGCCGCCACTCCTCACCTCCCCTCACCCACCGTCCCAGGCTGGGAAGCCCTGCTGGTCCCTCCAGAGACGAGCACTGTCAGCCAGCGGGTGCTGGCGTCAGGGCTGCACAGCCCCCACTCCTCGGAGTGGCTCCTCCGTGGCTGCAGTCACGTGGCGGCTGACTGAGGTTTCAGATGTATCCACTCATGAATATCAATCAGGCCTGGTAATTCACAGTAAGTGGGATCCAGATTGACTAATAAGCAAGGCTTTCACCCCAAACCAGGCCTGGGGAAGGAGAGTGGCAGGCAGGTGTGAGAGCGATGTGACCAGAATTGGAAAAGCTGGTGGCAGAGCTGCGACGGCAAGGTGGTGGCAAGCCCCTCACCTAAGGGGCTGCTTGGGGCGAGGTCCTCTGACAGGGAGCCAGGAGCAGGCTTTGAGCCCCTGGCCACTGCAGTCTTGACCCTGCAGCCTGAGGAGGGGGCTGAGGACATGCCAAAGTCAAAGTTGCAGAAAGAGGCAGCTGCCTGACCCAGCTGGGGCTGGGGGAAGGGGATACGGCCTTTTGGCTGACATCCGTGTGGGAACTTAGCAGAGGTGACTGAGAGCCGTTCATTTCTCTGTCTGGGGCCTCCTGACCATGGTTGTGGATTCAAGCGGTGATCCCAAGAGGCAAGGGTCGCCTGGTACAGACTGCTCCAGGAGGACCATGAGCTCATCCCTGAGCAAGGAAGGCGTGGCCTTGGAGAGCGCGCCCTTAGAGTTGTGAGCCAGTGCAGCACAGGCCTGCTCTGAGCACCTCCATTAGTGATGCTCCCTCATCCTCACCCCGACCGAGGGTGCCGGGAAACCTGGGCTAAGGGAAACCCAGTCACCAACCGTGTCATTTCATCACCCTCTACGTAAATTATTAGCTCATTTCACCATTACCGCCACCCTGCGGAGTAGACACTATTGTTCTCCCCTTTTCCAGATGTGGAAATGGGGGCAAGACACAGAAGTGAAGTGACATGCCCAGGACCACAGATCGCACAGAGCCAGGATTTCAGCTCAGGCCTGGTTCGAGAGCCCAGGCTCTTAACCACAATGCACCATGACCCCAGTGTGGCCTGTCGCATGCCCATTCACGGAAGCAAGTGGCTCCCAGCAGGCACATCCTCTTCTGCATCATTTGGCCCCGAAAGCCCCCAGCACCGTGAGTGCCGGACCCTCTCCACCCCCTTGAACCAGTAAAAACCAATTATTGTGGAGTTAACTCGGACGCACGGCAACCCTGTGTGTATCAGAGTAGAACTGCGCTCCACAGGTTTTCAGTGGTTGATTTTTATACTTCCCTGCGTGGTGGTAACAGTGAAATGAGCTAATTATTCACATAAAGGACTTAGGTCAGTGCTCACGAAATGACCATCATCCAAAGGACTGGGCCTGCACGGGTTCTAGCAGTGAGACGGAACACCGTCCACCCAAGGGGATCTCACAAGGTGAGGGAAATGCTACTTGCAGGTTAGCCTTCCTTCTGAGGCGCCTCTAGGTGAACTCGAACCTCCAACCTCTCACTTAGCAGCCTGACTAAGTAAAAGCAGCAGTTAACTGTGTGCAGCACCCAGGGAGCCCATCAGGACATGAGCTGCAGCAGCACTCAGCATCTTCTCTGAGTTTGTGCAAACAGGCGCCAGGCTCTACATTCTGGAAGCCATGACATGCGGAAAGGAGAAAGGCTTGATTTGTGAGCTAGCAGGATATGGGGCAATATTCTCTTTCCCAGCACAATGACAAATGCTAAAAGGGCATTTCAGGGAGTGGCCGAGCTCCAGCCAGGCTCCTTCTGCCATTGGTAGAAGGCGAAAGGGTGGCCCAGGGCCCAATGCATCGGGTTCAAGCCCAGCTCTACCCCATTGGATTCAGGGATCCTTGGTCTGAAATGGGGAGAAGGGGCGTCCAGGTATTTGTTAACTATGCAGTAAGAGTCCCCCAAGTGCCAAACCCTGTTCTAGATGCTGGGGACAGAGTGGTAAAGAAAAGACATAAGGTCCTTGCCCCCTGAAGTTCCCCAAGTGGGAGAGACAGATGTCAGCAAGTAAATATATAAGGTGATGTCAGGCAGAGAGAAGGGCCTGGAGGAAACTAGGGTGAGCTGAAGCACAGAAAGGGGCAGGAGTGCCTCCACGTGGGGTCAGGGATGGCCTCTCTGACGAGGTGACAGCAGTGGCACTGGCCTCCTCGGGTTGGTGTGAGGATTCACCAAGACCAGGCTAGCGCGAAGTGAGTGCTCAGGAAACAGCAGCCATTGTGATGGGGGTGAGGAGACTTGTTATTTGCATCACTGTGGTCGGTGCCATGGAGCCTTGGTGGCACAGCGGTTACGAGCTCGGCTGCCAACCAAAAGGTCGACAGTACGAATCCACCAGCCACCCTTAGAAGCCCTATGGGGCAGTTCTGCTCTGTCCTATAAGGTCACAATGAGTCGGAATCGACTCCACGGCGACAGGTTTATTGTCGGTCCCATCGATTCTTAAGTGGATGCCAGGTCAGCTCTCAAGTCCGGCATCCACACTGCAAAGTCGGGCGATATTCACCAGGACCCAGAGGGAACAGATGAACCAACCTGCCGCTACTGCAGATTTTTATCTGCATCTTAGGTGGGGCAGCGGGCACTCACCTCCAGGGCTGGGGCCTCCAGTTCCTCTCTGCGCCTGTGGGTTGGGGAGAGTTCGCCTTCAGCAGTGGGCACTCACCTCCAGGGCGGGGGCCTCCAGTTCCTCTCTGCGCCTATGGGTTGGGGAGGGTTCGCCTTCAGCAGCGGGCACTCACCTCCAGGGCGGGGGCCAGCCGGCACTCACCTCCGGGCCCAGGGCCTCCAGTTCCTCTCTGTGCTGGTGGGTTGGGGAGGGTTCCCCGTCAGAGCCCTGCGCTTGGGAGGCCCAGCCCACTGACTCCCATGAAACACTGGGTAGTTTCTCATTTTCCCCTTGAGTCGTTTCACAGCCCAGTTAAACCCACAGCGAAGGCTCCATGGGATGGAGACCCAGGCCTGGGGAGGAGCGGGGGAGGGGAATTAAAGACACTCAGTACTGCCCTGCCCCCACCACAGCATCAGCAATAACCAGGAAGAGCTCAAGAGAGAAGGATTTGCAAATACTAGCCTGGGCCGCTCTCCTGGAGCCAAGACGAGGATTGGCCAGAGGATTGGCCATATACGTGAATATACAAGGCATGAAGATCCCACTCTAGACATTTATTTTGCAAATTGAGCAGCAAGCTGGACAGAGGCCCCTGTCCCAGCTCCTTATCTCTTAGAGCAGAGACTCATCCTTAATTCATTTCCCTAAAGTGCAGTGTGGCTGTAGAACTCTCTTGGTGGTTGGTAAGCGGCCAGCCGAAATCTGATCATCCCCCTCTTACAGGGCTGTGTTGGAATTGGAAGTGCTCCTGTGGAGAACCTCTCCTGTGCCAGTCTTACCGAGCCTCCCCAGAACCGTTGAGTGAGGCTCTTATGCCCATTTTCCAGATGTGGAAAATGAAGCTCAGAGAGGTACAGTGACTTGCCCGAGGTCACACAGCTCGGAAACAGTAGTTGGACTTCAGGCCCTGGGTCTGTCTGACTTCAAAGCTAATGTTTTTTCCAGAAGACATCCTGGTGGGTGGGAGCAGTGAGGGAGAGTACGGGACCCTGTTAGAAGCAAGATGCCCATCTCCTTGACACCAGCTTCTATCTGGGTTGCAGACAGTCCCAGCTACCACAGGCAGTCCTGACAGCATCCCTCTACCTGCGGGCTCACTAGTCCCTTGGCTGCATGCTTGTCAGTCAGCTGAGCAGCCGGAATATGATCCTCTCACACATGCCGCCCAGGCCTACAGGCAGGTCAAGGCTCCACAGGAGAGCATCTTCAGGGGCTTTCTCTTCCCCATTAGAACTTTGGAACCAGAGTTGCGGAGGGTCTGTTCAGGCCGGGCTGCATCGAGTCCAGCCTTGTGGGGCCTGAGAGCATCGAAGGCCTCTGGGGTGGGGGGACAGGGCCCTGCCAAGCCGTGCCTGCCTTTGCCCAACAGTCTTCAGCCTCACGATCATTTTCATCACTATTAGAATTGTCCACTCCACTCCAGCTACCCTGGCTGCCTGGTGTCCCTCAGACACACAGCTGGTCACCCAGTCAAGAATACTCTGCCCCTAAGTGTCTCCACAGCTCTCCCCCTTGTCTTCTCAGGTCTCTACTGAAATGTTATCCTATCAGGGAGGCCTTCCCTGCCCCTGTATAAAGTCTTGTCCCCTGACACTCTATCCCCCTTCAGAAAACCACACCAGTTGCCGCGGGGTCCACCCCAACTCACAGCAACCTATGTGTGTCAGAGTAGGTTTGTGCTCCATAGGGTTTTCAGTGACTGATTTTTAGAAGCAGATTGCCAGGCCTTTCTTCTGAGGCACCTCTCGGTGGACTCGAACCTCCAACCTTTCGATCAGCAGCCAGTGTGTTCACCATGTGTACCACCCAGGGACTTCCCCCTCTGCCATGCTTTATACTTACTTGTTTGTTTATTGTCCACTTGTCTTCCTGCCCCCAACTAGAATGTTCCACAAGGGCAGGGCCTGTGTCTGTGTGGTCACTCCTGAGTCCACAGTGCCCAGAGAAGTGCCTGGGGCAAAGACACATGGACAGCTGTGGAGTGATTGAACCTGTTATTTAGAGAATACCATCCATGATTCCCTCTCTCTCCTCTCATTTAGTCATAACAACCCTGTAAGATAAGCGTTCTTATCCCCATTTTACAGATGAGGAGACTGAGGCCCTGGGACTGAGTAACACAATCCACGGGTGAACAACCCACATCTCCTTCCACAGCGGCCGGTGTTACTTAAAACTTTTGCCTCCACAAAGGAAGGAAGTATAACTCTTGACAAGCTGCTGCTTTCCAAAAATTCCAACTCACGGCCACCCTATGTGTTGCAGAGTAGAACTTTGCTCCATAGGGTTTTCTCTACTACAGTCTTTATGGAAGCAGATCGCCAGGCCTTTCTTCCATGGTGCCCCTGGGTGGGTTCGAACCACCAACCTTTAGGTTAGTAGTCGAGCACAACCATTTGCACCACCCAGGGACCTTCTCAAAAAAGAATAAAGGAGTAGAAAACAAGAAGTTGACGTTGGAAACTTGGGTTGGCCTTCCTGGCTCCGGATCCCTGGTGAGGC